TCATCAACAAAATTGAATGTTGTTTTAAATATGTATGACTAAAACCAGCGATTCATTGATTTTTTAATTCCATTTTTCTCCTTTTCCAGTTCGCTTTTGTACAGCTCCACCGCTCTTCTGCATAGTGCAGAAAAGAAATGAGAATTAAATAAAGTTCACATTATCTAGCCACTCCGGTAAACCCTGGTCTTGGCACAGGTGGTTTAAAATTTCATTATTATCGTTCCCTCCCTTCAAAAAGCATTCAGTACAATATTTCTGGCACAGAAACTTTACAATCAACTAGCCATCTATTTCAGTCGACATCACTGCACTGCACTCATTAATACTGTAGTACTATGGTACTCCACTCTGTCAAAGTCCCATAAATTTGTGAATTTGCCTGCTGAAATGATTTCCAACAAGCCCAAATGATTTACTGGTACACTAACACACAGAAATGATGAGAAAAAGCAATGCTACCCTTTTCCATTATTCAAAGAAGAAGAATTTTCTGAAGAGAATTTGAGACCTGCAGAGGGCACGGACACAAGGTGGTAGACAGAACAAAAAGTCCCAAAGCGCCACTCAGAGGGCAGACGAGCAACAGCAAATATCCAGTTGCGCAGATGTCTGGCATCGACGGTGTCATCTTTCCTCATTCATACAGCAGACACACGGCTCAGCCTGGCCCAGGAGGAGGAAGTGAAGTCAACGAGCTCAGGGCTGTATAAATAAGAGTCAGGCAACAGGAAGCTGGCTCTGCTCCAGGGAACATCAATGTCGATTCTGCTCCGATAAGGCTGCGCATTATACATCGCTCGGCGGTAAGTCGCATATAAATATTTTAATAAACCAATGAGGAGAGCTGGCTTGGACTGATAAGGAGACAATAACTTTCCAGAACAACACGCAGCTCCAGCTACAGGCTAAACAAGCCCATTCTCCCCCTTTTGTATCCATCTGGAAATGAAAGAAGAGGCCTCGGGGGTCTCAGGCTGAGATGAGCCGGTCAGGTGGGGCCGACACTGTTAAAAACCTGGTGAATCCAGACCCCTTTGCCTTCCCACCCAAGGGATTTTTGTTGTTGAGAATTCTTGTGCACCGAAAAAAGCTGGCAGAAGCTAAGGTCTGTTTCCATCGCAGGTATAGTCACAATGTGACCATCTACACACTACACTGCCAATACAATAATGAGGCCATTAGTGACATTAACAAAATTTAGAATCGCCACTCCACTGCTTCCACAGGTGGCCAGCTGTGGGGGAGATTTGCTTGGGGATATGATCTTCACTGCAGCTAGTCCAAGTCTACTGGGCTCACGTGACTCTTTTTGTGCTTTAAATTCAAACAAGCAACAGAAAACATTTGCTTTGCTTGAGTTCTGAATGTATTCACTTCACTGAAAAAGAGAAATATTAGTCCTCCGAATGCAATTTCTACCTTAGTAGCAATTTCTACCTTAGTACCTGTTAAGAGTTATGTGTGTGTGTGTGTGGAGGGTGCCAACACCTACCTGTGCAACTACAGCAGCCACATCACCTGTAACTGCACAGCTGCAGGTCAACATTGACTGCATGAGGGCCTACTGCCTAACACAGAGCCAGAGAGTGAAGGCCTGTCACCGCCATTCATGTTAGGGTCAGAACAGCCCAATTTGTCACATTCTCTCCCAGGCAACCACCACATATTGTGCTGCTGTTAACACTCTGTGGGTTTGGGTGGTTTATTCAGTAGTTGCCAGTCAGAAGTTGACAGCCAAACTATTCCAACCCATTCGAAAAGCACAAGCTGCTCCCACCAGCTCTCTCCATCTTGCGATGCATCTCAATGTTATAAAATCAGTAATAAAGAACCAGTCATGGCCAAACCTTGCAGTGAAGGGAATTCTGGACCTGGGTAGCCTTGCTATAGTGAGACCATGCGTCTTAAACCACTGAACCAGTTATGTGCCTCACTCTGTCAGTTCCTCTCATTTATCTTTGAAATGTCTTTTCAAAAAGCCATTTCAGCAGAAAACAGTGAAAGAAGAAAACAAAGACAGGGGAACCACACACATAGAACAGGAGATGCATTAAAGTGGGATGAAACAAAATGGAGGTTCTGCTAAGAAACAGCTTGTCGCCTCACTTTGGAAGCATTCCATCCTAAACCCGTCTGTACAGGCCAGACTTTTATTTCACAGCAATAAGGAAACAGCAGCAAGACACCACAGACGAGGCAAGGTAAGTTACCTACATAAGAAGTAGTCAGTAAGCCTTTAATACAAGTGAAATGATCTATGCAACATGAGGATCTACAAAAAACCGCATAGAGTGGGGGGGAGGGAGCATTCTATCCTCAAACATGGAAACAGAGCTGGGATTTAACAAACCATCTCCACCCTCTGGGGTTTCTACAACAAGACCCGCTTGGGAGCACCTCAATGCTTTGTTTCCTAAGCTTTTCCAGTGTATTTTAGGGAAACTCTTGTTTTTTTTCAACTTGAAAGGAACAGGCCTTGTGGATTTTTTTAAGCTGTGTTTCTAGCTTTTTCTTAAGGCATCTGTGCTTTCAGAGGCGGGCCATGCTACTAATGATTTCTAAGAGGACAGCAAGAAAATGAATTTAAATCCGGTTGCTGAAGAAATCCTATTAAATCATAGTTCTTTCCCCTCACCCACAATCTCCATTTTTCCCCCAACACGGCTATCGTATTCATTCACATATCTTCGGGCTGCACACATTCTCGCCCTGGAAGGTAACATTTGGTGACAACAGCAACCTTATCTGTACGAGCGTAATCCTGCCCCTGCTCAGTTACACTGGTGGGGACTGGTTAAATGCTAGATGAGATATGGAGCCAATACACAAGCAGATGTGGGAGAAAAGCATGAAGAAGAAAATAACATAGCAAAGGTCACAAAAACCTTCCTGGTGCCATCAATCTGCTCCATCTTTCTGTAAAGGATTACATCTGTCTGCGCCAAGCTGTGATTGACAAACTTTTGTTTCTATTTTTTTTATTTTGGATGGTTTTAAATTCCTTTAAATATCCTTTGAGAAGTCTCTGAATTTTTAATTAAACTCAGGGGAAAGACTATTAATTACCACAGAGATTCAGTCATCTTTGCTTCATAGCTTAAAAGAGCCTGTGTCTAGGTTGCTAATGAAAACGCACAGAAGGAAGGTAGCCTTTTACACAGACTACTGTTGATCCCCTATCCCATATTTAAACATTTAAAGAGTTGCCTAATTTGGCCTCCCAAACAATTATTTGTTTAGGCTTTGGCATTCTCAGTCTGCCACGTGCCATCTCCAGGAAGGATTTTGTTCTTCTCCTAAAGTATAGAGAGCACACTACATTAAGAACAAAGCAATTATTGAATTAAAATATCCTTTGAAGTCTGGAACAGGAACACTTGAACTTTTAATTACACACATACCCTCACATAAATTAAGGAGTGGAGATAAAAGAAAGTGAAAGTTACCACAAAAGCCTTACTAAAAAAAAATACAGCAGTATAAAAAGTTTTGAAAAAAGCCTTTGGTGTGATTGAGAAAGCCACTATATCAAGAAATCTGGGAAATATCTTAATGAAGGAAATGATTAGTTCCTAAGACAGTCAGATTCAATGGAATCTCACAATGACAGTTTTAATAAACTTCAGCTTTCAGAAAACAAGGTAGGTGTGACATATTGAATGCCCCAGCATCTTTATTACATTTCTTATGTTCTTCTCTAAACATGCTGGCAAATGTTTCAAAATGTTTCTAATGATAAGAATATCCATGTCACAGCAATATTTTATGGTTGATTCTTTAATGCACCTATGTGTTCAAAGAATACAATGTTTCTGTCCATTAATTAGTCTAGAGTTATTAAAATGTGCTCCCTGAGATCCCTCTATACTAACTGCTAATTACAACCAACAAAATATAACATCTGTACATTAAAACTGTTGTGATAAGCCCATGAAATTATTCAATTTAAACCCGTAAGTGTAAAACACAATATGAAAATGCATTATATCATAATGGAAATGCTGCCTTTCAGCTTAATAAGCTTTCAGGCTTAGGTAACATCTGGATACAAAGCCTTTAAGACTAACAAGGACTCTGTGTATAGTTCATTGCATATTGTGAGGTACAGTACATGTTGTCCTTGCTTGCTTGTTCATGTGTCTATGTTCTATTCCGTCTTGTCTCTGTAAAGGTACACACACATGGGTTTCTATGAAGGTGTGAGTGGGTGGGATCACCAGTGGGCTGATAAGAGTTTTGGCAAGTGAGAACTCTCCCAGGGACTGACTTCCCATTATCGGGGAGTCCAGTCACTGCAGGGTTGGGGTGCATGCAGGTGTTGTTATAGCTGAACCGTTATATTCTCCTTCCCTCCCTTTCCTTGTGCAGCACCAAACTGACACACAGTGAGATGATCAGGTTCCTGTTCTTAAGGGTTTCTTGTCCTGAGAACCCACCAAAACCATAAATTACATTCCAATATTTATTATCCCCGCAGTGAAGTTAACCCAGGAATGTGGTAACAACTATTTGATAACAGTGAATGAATTATGTACGTTAGATGTCTGAAGGATAATTTCCATGCGGTCATACATCCTTGATGAATCGCTGCCTGTCTGAGCCAACAAAATTCCATTAATTTTGATGGCATCTGAGCTCATGGGGAGAGTTCTGCATAAGATGTCCTTACAATTCACAACACATCCCCACCTTGTTATACATTGATTATGCTTTTAAAGCAGCAAGAATAATTTGTGAACAATAATACTTAAACAGACACACATTAGCAAAGGACATGTAGTTAAACCTATGTGGATGGACTCAGAATAATAAGTGGGCAATATTTGTTTCCAGCACAGAAAATCTACAGAAGATCCACAGACCTGAGTCTTACATACAACATACTCCAGAACTCCCCGCCCTGCTGCATCTACTTTCTTCACTACAATCGATGAGTCCACAATGTGAATCACCTGGCACTGTGGAAGACTCTATACTGACACGTGATGAGGCCTTACCATATAGGAGGTCAGAGGTTGAGTGAGGACTGCTGTAGGTTCTCATCAGCTGCCAGTCAAAGTCATCCTCCTCCCCCTGGCTGTATTCACACAGGCTGGGGTCTGAGTCTTCATCGAAGGTGCAGCCTCCTGTGGGAAAGATCGAGGTCAATTATTGGCTACGAAGAAGAACTGACATCAAAATGACCCTAATCCCCTTATAGAGTTCATTTTATTTTTTTCCAAACACTTTTGCAAAAGTAATCACAGCTGGGAATACTGAGCTCTTATCATGAGGCACAATACCGCAGTGCAATACTGTGAACTCTCTGCTTATATACTTAGAGCCAAAGTTTTAGCTTACAGAAAATAAAACATCCAAAGTAAGGTCTTATCATTGTGGAATTGCTGACCTAAACAACTAGTCCAGGGCACATTCATAACCAATATTTATTAATATACACACCAAATGCTGCTATTATTATTATTATTACAAGAGCAGCTATTATTGCTCATTACTAAAAATTGCTATGCTTTACTGCCCGTCGGGTAAGCTTGATATGGCAGGTTGAAATGAAATACGAAGACCCCCCAATGTTTGTCCCTTTCAGGATCCACAGCTCATTTACACTTGGAAAGAAGAGAGCAGTATTTCACCATGATAACCCCACTGATCTCATTTCCACAACTGTCTGGGGAGATACTCCAGACAAAAAGCAGCATCCATCTCTCGCACGGCATGTTTCTGTAGACATCAATTAATAACACCCATCCACCATCCACCAATCAGGACTGCAATAACACACACACACACGCAGAAATAAAAGTTTTGAAAGGATGAGGCACTCGGCATAGCTTTATTATTGCAATACATCACAACTTGACGAATCCCACAAGCCACAAGCTAATTTGCCAAAATTACATTTAATCGCTGTAGCTCTTATAGCCTTTAGGTCCGACTTAATGGGCTCCATCTATTCCCCTTGCATCTGTTGCCCTCTCTCACATTAGACCAGTGGTGTGAAAATTAGAGGGCAGAAAACATGGGCAATCAGAATGGAACAGAATACCTTTTTGTTTCAGGAACTGAATACATGAATATTAAAAGAGAACAAAAATAAGGACAAAGGTGACCCAAACTGGTTCGAGACGACCTTGAAGACACATTCTCATGTCACTTCTAATCAACAGTGTACACAAGGGGGTGGGGGCTGTTGGAGTCAATGCCACCCCAAAACTAATACTGTACTATGTAGACAGTGTAAGCACAAGCCCGCTTCCTGTGAGGGGAATATTTCACAGGTTCACTCCCTAGAGGGGTTTCCCCTAGCATGTCTGGACTTTTTGAGCTGGGAAGGGGGCTCACAGGTTTGCTTCAAAAGGTGGAAGGAAGTTTCACAGTTTTCTGGAGAGAGTGTGTCATCCCATCCTAGAACTATAGCCAGGTTTTCAAATTACTCAATCTGTAAAGCAATTTGTAGATTTTGAAGCAAAGTGCATTGCTTTAATTTGATAGAGGAGTGTTAAGCTGTTGTTCCACAGAAAAAACACTCCTGCATTTGCAGAACTCTAGCGTATAAAAGAATGGGACACATTCAGATTTGGATCATTCTTAAGTTTCCAACCACTTCCCACACCAAAACACGGTCCTAGCCAATAAGCTAGTTCTATTGCTGTCACGAAACAGTTCTTTCTGGACCCTATGCGGACGACACAATCCAAAGTAGTGAGGAAACACTGGGGAAAAAAGTCATGCAGGAGACGGGAATGAAGACAGGGGGCATGTCCTTGGTGCACTGGTGTACGGGGAAGGTGTGGCCGAGGCAAACAATCCAAAATACAGGCAAAAGTCCATGGCCAGGTGATCCATCCAAGACAAAAGATTAAAAACAGGAACCGGCAAGGGGAAGGGGAAGGGGAAGGGGCATAAAAACTTAAAAACATAACGGAGCCAGGCACAACCAGGTCCCAGGCTCACACAATATGGAAACCAACGAAGAGCCTCAAGTGAAGGGAACGTCTGGCTTTTAAGGTTGAACTGAAATGGGTAGGAACAAGGAACAGGTGCGGGGAATGAGGCAAACGAGGAAGGGCTGGAGCACCCTTAAGAGGAGGGGTTTGCGATCTTGACAATTGCAGCTCACTGCATAGATGAAATGACATCAAGAGGCCCATCTCAAAACACATTCAAATTCACAAAATAAAGGATAACTGAGCATGATATTTGACACCTTCCTCTGAAGTACATGTCCTGCAGCACATGTCCTGCATTGCAAGAAAGTGGTTCATTTAGTGAACGTCATACCACTCACTTACTGGTGTTGCAATCATTTTTGGAAACCTTGCTTTCTGGATGTAGTTTGGACAAAAACTGATTGGCCAATTAATTCTAAACTTGGTAGGTATCATTATAGTGACAATGCAATTAATGAAGGGTGATTTGGGGTTTCTTGCATAAACAAAAATAGCTAACTGACCACCAATTTGTACTATTGCAATCCTATGCAATCAATCAACAAAACTGGCAAGTGTTATCATGAGGCAATGCAATTTAAGTACTTATAAATGGTGTTTCTATTTTTTTTCCATCTTCCTTGATTACCACACACATACTAATGGGTTAGTGTGATATTGGTTACTATAATAGCAATTATTCCAGATGACATTGCTGCCCCCTGGAGGTTCATATTAAATTGAAACCTGGCACCCTTTCAAACAAGACAAGCTCGTTGAGCTTTGCAAAGAGAAAATATTTCTGTCATGGTCAACATTTGTGGAATAGATATCTTTTTACATTAAACTATGTCTTATAAAAACAGAATTATATTTGTTTAAATCTCCCCATTTCTATACCATTACAGGGCTAAAGGTCAGCATGAGCTTTTTGTAAGGGCTTGCCTTAGTGTCCTTGGCTATGTCAGTGGTTATTTAAAGCAAATAAAACTCCCCTTACACTCTTTTTTTTTAGAGTTTAAAAATGGTTCAATGTGGTTATCAACATACACTACAATACCCATTCTACAGGAACCACACTGTGACACTGATTTAGTGAAGGCACAAATAACTGTGCATTCTTTCTTGGGTACTAATATCTACTCCATTAGAACTAGACAACTATAGTGTTTTATTCTAGTATTAGAAGACAGGGGAACATGCTTGTCAGGCAAGTACTTGTTTTTCTTACCAGAATATTTTTTGTGATAGAGTGACTTTGTAATTGTAATTTTAGGAAATCCCTTCATTCATGCAGGCCTAATACGATCAAGTGTATTTAGTCTTTGAGACTTTGTCATCTTCTTGGACTGCCTAGTTCGGAGGAGTCTATGCTGCTGGCAACAAGTTTCCTCTTTATGTTCCTTGAAACAGATTGGATCTTTCCAGGTTTGTAAGCTGACATGAAGTTTTAACTGCCCTTCTTTCCCGAGCTGGACAAACGGATTGGAATGGTTTGAAACGCAAGCTTCTGAAGACCTCCCAGAATTGATAGGTTTCAAAAGAAATGTCTCCATCTGCTATTCAGCGATTTCTCTCATTAAGTCGCAGCATGCCTTCCCAGAGTTCGTTAAGTGTTTTGTTACCATGCGGGTGCCTTTCAGAGTTTGAATATTTCTGCTGGAGGTTGGCAGGACTGCCCTGTTTTAATAGGATGTTAAACAAGCTGAGTTAAGTTTTAACACAGGAATGCCACTTCTAGTTCCATTTCAAGGAGAGTTTCAGGTCTTGAGGCATGTAAAGAGGATTTATCTGTGTTAAGAAAAGAAGTGACTAAATGCCAGCCATCACATTGAGTGCACTTGGTAAATGCCTCCATCTTAGGTCTCCAGAGGCCCAGCCGAGCAATTTAGGAGGTTCACTGAAAATAGGCTCCAGATTCAGGACACCCACTGGAGAGTCAATGGGGTTTCCAAACAGTCCACAATAATTACTGAATTCTAAACCTATACCAGGTTCATCTGGTGTTGTGTGACAAGTACATTAGAGATTTTATCAGGTCGGATCTGGGTCAGACGGACTTCGTGATCCTATCTGTTGTCTGCCCATAGGCAATGGAAATCATTTGGTTTACCTCACAATGGCTCAGCAGCATAGAAACTAAACATGAGTGAAAGGGAACACTCACACTAAAGGTGAGGACAATTTCCAGATCCAAAAACTGCACCAAAAATTATCTTCTTCAAAAACTCCATCCAAATCCTTAGACTGAGACTGACATATTGACCAGCCCCCTGCAGCCCCCTGCAAGCAGCAGTGACATTATTGCATAATTAGGAACCAATTAAGCTTCATTAAGACTCTAATGTGCAACTGGGAAACCTAAGCAAAAATGTAATCAAGGTAGTTAGGCTGGAGCACTCTAAATATAGAGGCAGCATTCACAATAACCTCAGTGGACTTACAATAACCTGAAGCCACCAAGATCAATAACTCACCTGTTGAGGTTATTGTTTTTTACCTGTTCCAAACATCATGATCAATGTTTTGTTAGATGTTGTGACCTATATATTTATTTATTATATTAAATCATTATTTCAGACCTTTTTGAAAAGGTCAATGGATGGAAAATGGTGACAGGAATGAAATCATTCTTACACATAATGTACACTTTTAGACAACATAGCTAAGGGCAATATTATCCTGCTTTTCCTTCAAACAAGTGTAGTCAGCAATCGCACTAAATAGTCACTTCGCAGGGTGCATGCTAAATACATCCAGCAAACAAAAATGGAGAATCTTTCACACCACATATTGCAATAAAGGGAGGAAGCAAAGAAAGAACAAGAAAATGCAGGCTATATAAATTGAGAGTGGGCAAGCTAACCAGAAGCGGCTTTGGTCTTGGATGAAATGGAGAGTGTTCTTCCAATTCCAAGAGATTACCCAGGTACAGTAAAAACCTTGCACAATTCAACCCTGCAAAAAGAGTCATGGCAGTTATCGATAGGTGAGAAACTCACGTGCACTGCTTGGTAAATTTTGTTTGTAAAATTAAGCCCAAGGAAGAAATAAAGACAGAGATTTCCTTTCTTCTTTTTTGAGCTTCTGATGAAATCGAAAGGCAGTGAGACAGCGTTTTAATCCAGAAATGCCTCATCACATCCCTCACGAGTGGCACAGGCCTGCGGCTCCACCACCTGCATTTGCATTAAGAC